CAAAACTACACATAAAGGTTAAAAATAAAAGGACAGAAAAATTATACCAGGTAAATAAGGACCAAAAGAAAGCAGTGTACTAATAGTAATATTGAAAAATTGAATTAAAGCAAAAGAACATTAATAGGAAGAAAGAAGATCATCTGGCACTAATGAAAGTTATAATCTACCATAAGGATGTAAAAATTTATGAATTTGAAAAAAAATTTATGAAGTTGTGTGCACCTTAAAAAGTGTTTGAGATATATAAAGCAGGAACTTACTGAAATAAAGGAAAAAATCGACAAGTCCACAATAATAGTGTGAGACTTTAAAGTACACCTCTCAGAAATTGATAGATGTAAAATAACAAAAAATACTGTAGAGGATAAGGTGGACTGACTCACTCAGCATCTATTCCCGTATCCTAGTGGGCCTTGTTAGACTACAGAGGATGGAAAGCTATTTCCCAGGTTCCTTTACAACTAGTGTTCCAGATGTGGATTAGTTTCCACCACTTGGTGCCACTGTGCAGGATCTGTAATGTGGATGAGAGGCGGGGACCACTGTCCTTTTCCTTTGGCTGTTACAGCTTACAAGCACAATTGCACAGCCATCAGTTTTTCTGTGCCAGCGTCTGGCCTCTAGTTTTGTGAATGTTGGGAAGTAGTGGCAGCAACTGTGTCTGGATCTTTGGCTTTGTTACAACAGCATATTTGGAAACATAGCTCTAGTGGTGGCCTCCCAGAGACCCAGCCTAGAGTGCACTCCTGCGGCCCTTCCCATGACTTTGTAAACACTTGCCGCCTCATTCTGCTTAAGACATCTGGAGTGGTTTCTGTTTTCTGCACTGAACACTGACATCTATATATTCAAGTTACTGTAGATAACTGTGGACTTGAAAAACATGATTAAAAAGCTTGAGTTAATATATAAAGAGGCAAGGAAAGCTTATACCATTAAACTGAGAATTTACATTATTTCAAGCTCACAACAAATACTAACAATGACTGACAAAATATCACAAAGGAAATCTTAAACATTTCTCAAAAATATCAACACCATGTGGACAATTTTATGTCATCACGACGCAGTAAAATTACATTTATTTTTAATAACAGGTAGCTTTAAAATTTTTCATTTATTTGAAAGCTAAATGCATACATAAACCTCTAAATTATCCATGAATTAGAGAGTAAATTATAATGGAAATTATAAAATATTTATAGCTGAATGACAATAAAAGTATCACCACCACTTATCAGGGCTTGTAGGATGCAGCTAAAGAAGTACTTAGATAAGAATGTATAGGACTAAATGAATTAATTATAAATGAAAAAAATTTTTTGAAATGAGCTGAAGGTTCAAGTTAAGAAGGAATTCAAAGAACAGTAGTAAACCAAAGGAAGCAGAAGAAATTAAATAATAAAAGAGCAGAAGATAATGAAATAGAAAATATAATGACAACAACAAAAGAGATAACAAACAAAACAAAAATCTAGCTCTTTGGAAAAAAACCTAGAAAGACTGATTGAGAGTGAGAGAAAAAAAGAGAGCAAGCACAAATAAACAGTATCAGGAATGAAAAGGAAAATATGACTCTGATAAAATAGAGATTTTTTGAATCATCAGAATACCATGAACAACTTTATGCCATTACATTTGAAAACCTAGATAAAATGGACAAATTCTAGGAAAATATAAATGACTAAAATTGGTTCAAAAAGAAATAGAACCGAACAGACTAATAGTCATCTAATAAACTGAGGTAGCAGTAAAAAGTCTCACTCACCAAAAGGCACCGGATAATTTTCCAATGAATTTCATGAAATGTTCAAGGAATAGGAAATTCTCACACACTGTTCCAGAGACTAGAAAAAGAAGGAAACCTACCTAATTCATATTATAAGGCTGGCACAATCTTTACATTAAAACTAGAAAAGGCAGAATAAGAAAATAAAACCATCAGCCTTCCTTATAAACATAGACGCAAAAACCTGACTAAAATGTATCAAATCAAATGCAGTCATGTTTTAAAAAATAATACACCCTATCTAAGTAGGGATTGTATTAGGAACGCAAAGATGGTTCAACATCAGAAAATTCTGTCAATGTATTTTATCACATTAACTCTTTTAAGCAGAAAAACTATCAAAAGATATAGAAGAAAACACAGTAAAATTCAAAATCCATTAATGGAAAAAGTATTTAGTAACTTAATCACAGAAGGGAACATCCTTAACCTAATATATATTATCTACCAAAACTCTATAGCAAAAATTGTGAAAATTTAGAAATTTTCTATTTAAGTAAAAAACAAAACAAAGATTCCTGTGCATCTATTCAATATTGCACTAGAAGTCCTAAACAATGCAATAAGATAAGAAAAAGAAATATGACATAGAAGGAATGGTGCAATCTACCAAAAAGATGTAAATGAAAAAGGAAATACAACTCTGATGCAATACAGCATGGAATTGTCATTATTTTCAGACCATATGATCATATAATTACATACAATTACAAGAGAATCAATAGAAAAATTATTAGAATCAATAAGAGAGTTCAGTAAAATTTCTGGACACACAGTCAAGAAAATACAATTGCCTTCCTTTTCATTGGTAATAACCAAGTGGAAAGGTAATACGAAAAAAGCAACAAGAATTATAAAGTACAGAATAATTTAATAAAAATGTACAATATTTTGATGGAGAAAAATCACAAAAATGAATTGATGACCCAAAAGAAAAGAGAGAAATATATCACATTTATGGATGAGAAGACTTAGTATTATAAATATTCAATTATATCTCTACTCTGTAAGTTCAATGAAGTTTTAATATAAATCCCAACAGAATTCTTCAGGGAACTTGAAAAAAATGATTCTACAGTTCACATGGAAGAATAAAAATATATAGATAGCTAAGACAATTACAAAAAATAGGAATCAAGTTGGGGGTGGAGCTTGCCCCAAGATATAAAGATGTTATCACAAAACCATAGATTTAAAACAATGGCATATTGGTCGGAAATGGACAAATTGATCAATGGAATAGAACAGACAGTCCAGAAATAAATCCATGCATTAATGGGAACGAGGTACACATCAGAGGTACTGTTACGAATCAATGGAGGAATCAGCAGACAATTTGGTAAAAGGCATTGGGCCAAAACCTGGGCAAAACCTTACTTTGATTACTTTTTATGACAATGAGACATTTTAGAATCTCAGGAGATAAAGAGACTGGCTGGGTTCCTAAACCAACTCTACCACTTACTAACCTCTGGCAAATTACTTAATTTTTCTGTGCTTATTTCCTCATCTGTAAAATAGGGATCATAACAGGACTTACCTCACAGACTTGGTGTAAGGTTAATACAGATAAACTAAAATAGGTACACGTAGGATTTAGATAGGCAAAGCATTTAGCTAGGCCCTGGCTCGAAGTAGCACTACATGTGTTAGTTATCACGGTCCTTTTATCCCCAATACCACATGTGATATAACATCTCCACTTTGCCTCCCTTTCTTTGCCTGATGGTGAGAGACTTCCATTATCCAAATTGACCAGAATAACAGTTCACTTGGTCTTAGGGGACCTGGTCCATGTCTCTGCCATCATGACCAGGACATTCCATAGTGGGAGGTCTTCTCACTTAAAAAAATTATTTATTTAGAGCAATAATTGCAGTCATTGGTGACATCCAATCTCAACTCTTACCTCATTTGTGACCCTGACAGCCAGATCATGATAGCTTTCAATATGGATCACACACAGCTTGCCGTTTGTTTTCTTTTTTGTAGCAAACATTTTTAGAAGCATTTTAGATTTACAGGAAAAAACTGAAGATTAGTACAGAGAGTTCCCATATACTCGACACTCAGTTTCCCTTATTATGAATATTATCTTGTTTTTTAAATTCAACATTATGTCTTTAAAATACATCCATGTTGATATATAGATCTAATTTATTCATCCTAATAGCAGTGTAGTATTCCATTGACCTGTAAATTTCTCAGGGTCTCACATGACACAGGTTTAGTGCTGGGGAATTCCATCTCCCTCTCAGTGAGGTCTATCAAATCCCTAGTTCTGCAGTGCAAGTATTTACACAGTCAAAATGTTATAAATGTCGTTTGGTTTTCAGTGTTAAGAATCAATCTAAGGCAAAGTACAGCAAACTGGATTATCTTTCCAGGATAGAATGTACCTGCTTCAAACCTTGACAAAGCAAAAGGAAAAGCTGAGGGGATGGAGGAAGGCAGATCAAGGGAAGTTATTCATTTCACACAGAAGAGAGTCAACAGATTCAATCTAAAGAAGAAGCAGACACTTAACACTATTATTGAAAGTGATAATAGTAACCAATAGAAAAACTAAAAATATAAAGAAAAAAAACTGAGAGGAGAAAGAGCTAAAGGGTGGTTAATGAAATCACACAACAGGGAGTCAACAGATACTGTTAACATTAGTAAATCAAGTAATAGAGGCATGCATATATTATTCACAATTATGAAAGTAACATAAGTAAAAAACTAAAACAACAAACATGGTAAAAAAAAAAAAGGAAAAAGAAGGGTTGCTCTGAAGAGTTGGGAAGTGAGAGGACGTTTTTAACTTTTTATTTCTAATCTTTCTGTTGGGCTTGGATGTGCATTTTCGTCTATATGAATTATATTTGAGATAATAATTTAAATAAATAATTAGGCACAAAATCTAGATCTGATTCTGACATTCTCCTAAGGATTCAGGCACTCTCAGTAACTCCCCATCGCCGTAGGATCAAGTTTAAACTCTCAGGCAGGCCTCTCTCAGCCTCCGACCCCTCGCCCCAGGAACCCACCTAATCCTGCTCAGGAGCTCGAGGTATTGCCACCTCTTCCGAGAAGCCCTCGGGAGGGAGAGTGCGCCCTCTGCCGGAGTAGGCCCGCCAGCACGCTCGGGGTACCGCCCTTTGCGTATCATTAGAAACTCCGCCCCCATTCCTCACCCAGGGCTCCCCGCATCACGTGATCCCAGCCCCCTCCCAGTTCCCCGGTGGAAACCCAGGAAGGGGAGCCGGGGGACCCCAGGTGAGAGCGTCTGGAGCGGTGGGCGCCGGTCCCCTGAGTGGTGGGGGACTGCTCTGGTCAGGCCTGGGACCCTGACTGGAGTGTCTGTCAGAAGGGGACCGAAGTGAGGCGGGCAGGCGGGGTGATGGGAATTAACACCTCTCAGGGTCTGCTCCGTGCCGAGAGGTTGAGAGCTGGGCCTTCTGTTGGGGAGAGAAGCCAGGCTCTTCCACTGCCATCTGCGTGTGCTTGGGCGAGGCACTCAGTGTTCTCGCTGGTGGCTGCCAGCGTGAAATGAAGTAATACGCATAAGTAATTGATAAGTGGTACCTGTTGTTATCACAGCCATTTCAGCAAGAGTATAAACTCTTTAGGGTTTTAAAAGACCTTAGGGTCGCTGTAGCTCGACCCTGTTTGGAGGTGGGTCGCCTCTCCCTCAGACGCTCCGTGATGAAGTCTCTTCTCTCTGTCTCCTCACAGGCCTGCCTTCTGCTTTTGGCCCCTGTAGGTGGACAGACATGTCTCGGGAGGGGGCTGCGGAGAGCCCCAGCACAGAGGACCCTGTTCTCTGCCCCCGACGCAGCTGTGGGCTTTTCCAGGAGGATGTGGCTGAAGTCGGCTCCATGTCAGGTGTGGCATCAGATACCCCAGGGGCTGTATACCTCTGGGCTGGCAGCAGGAAGAAGGTCCTCGAGGAAGAGGCCCACTGCCGTGCCAGCTGCAAGGCTGGGGGCGCTCCTGGGGCCAGCCTGGAGGCTGCCCACTTGATGGTCCTGGAGCTGCAGGCTGTGGGGCAGAGCCAGGATTTGGTGCCTGGCTCCAGGCTCCACATCCAGGTGCCCGCAGTGCCTGCTCAGGAGAGGGCTCAGGTCTCCAGGAGGCTCCAGATTTCTCTGCATGACACCTTAGCTGAAAGTTGGCCCGGGAATCTTTGTGATATGTCTGTGGGTCTCCCAGAGAGAGCTTTGGTTGGCAGGGAGAAGGCAGCAGGGGTGGAGAAGGTGAGCTGCCCCAGAACCAGAGAGGCTAGATAAGGTGGGAGTTCTCCAGAGTGTGATGGAAGAAGCCCCACCCTCAGCAAAGAGGAGCCTCCCAAAGGGGGCCTGCCATCCTCACCACGCCCAGCCCCTGTGGGGGCAAGAAAGGAAAGCAAGAAGTATGAGCCTTGCTCAGAGGGTGGGGAGGGGCTGGTGGCTTCTTGTGGCTTGGTCAGAGCCCTGGTGGGGACAAACCTCAGTCTGTGGGAGGCCCCCCCACAGGATGCTGACCTGGAGTCCTTGGGAGGCCCTTGCACTCCCCTGTCTCCTGGGTCTGGGCCTGGAGATGCAGGTGGAAGTTGGGTGGGATGTGCCTCAGGGACTGAGAAATTTGAATATATGCTTGCTGCAGGGGATGGGGCCCAGGCAGGTGTCGGGTTCCCACTGCCCACTGGAGGAGAGTCCCTCAGACCAGCTGCCCAGGATCCTCCGCAGAGTCCTGCACTGTGCCTGGGAGTGTCTGGAAAGGCTTCCACAGAGTGGCAAGAAGCTGAGCACATCCTGAGGGCTGGTGGTGATGATGGCCCTGCTGCCTCACGCAGCCAGGAGGAGCTGGAGGTCAAGGCTCAGCCGGTGTCCAGGGGGAGGCCAGGGCCAGGACTCACTGCTCCCTGGGACACCCTCGCCAGCTCCCTGGAGCCTGCAGCCAGCAAGGCTAGCTCAGGCTCATCCATGGGGCAGAGAAGATCTAAGTGTGCTAAGAAGTCAAGGAGGGGCCCTGTGCCCCAGGCCCAGAACCAGGGCACAGACAGAATCTCAGACAGCTCCAGCCGGGACCAGCCAGAGGAATCCAGCCCAAGAGGCTGTCCCAAACTGGTAAGTTGAGTCTGAGAGGTCGGGATAGGAAGGGCTGGGCCAGTCTCTCAACGTCATGCTTGGTGGTGGAATTTAATAGAACTACACTAGATGGGCTCTTAATGAACATTATCCCTCACACCCATTTTATACATGAGTAAACTGAGACCCACCAAGTCAGGAAAGAGAAAATAAACTACAATCACTGACATCGTGTGAGGGGTCATTCTCTTTTGGAGTTGATGAGTCCTGGGTTCAAATCTTGCCTCTGCCCACTTCCTAGCTGAGTGACCTTGGAAGATTTTTTAACCTAAATTTCCTCATCTGTAAAAAGGGCCTACTAATTCCAATTTAATGGGTTGTTTTGAGGATTAAATGAGATGATGGTGTAAAATAATGTGCCTAGCACAGCGTAAGGCATAAGGTAAATTATTTAATGTATGTTCAATTTGCTTTCCCTTGATTGTTACAATAGCCCTGTTAGGTAGGCATTAGCTCCATATTTCCAGATGGGGAAAATGAAGCTCAGAGAAGTTAACAAACTTCTCCAAACTCACACAGCAAGGAAGTCAGTGCTTGGCCATGTTCCCTGTATCCACTGCTTCCCTTTCCATTGTTCTTTTACTTATAATAATAATTGTCGTTTTATTAATAATTGTAGCTAACGTGTTTATACACCGAAGGCAGAAGCTGGCACTCCCTGTTTTTAGTGTATATTTCTCACCTAGTTGAATTTTTATCACATTTATTGACTATGTATTATGTGCTAGGTGCTTTTGATTTAATCTTCACATGAAGCCCAGAGAGGTAAGGTGACGGGCCGCAGGTCACACAGCTGGCAAATGACAGAGCCAGGATACAAAACCAGGCAGTCTGTCTTGAGAGCTTGCTGCCCTGCCGGACTGAGCATATTATATTCCCCCTTAGCATCACAGTGGTAATAGCACCTAGCCTGCTTACCATGAGCTGGGTACTGCACTGAGCACTTTATCTTCAATCTTCCTAGCAACCCTATGAGGTAGAGGCTATTGATATATACCCATTTTACTGATGTGGACACTGAGGCTCAGAGAGAGAAAATGACTAGTTCAAGGCCAAACAGCAAATTAGTAGAACTGGGATAGGAACCGATGAGCTGCCTGTGTAGTTTACGGTTATGTGGTAGTATAATTACATTAGAATGCTATTACATTGTAAACATCACTCAAAGACATTAACTTTTAATAAAAAACTAATGTGTTTATCATAGAAAATAAAAAAGAAATAAAAATCCCCATAAATGGCAACATTCAGAGCTGTCTCCTGTTGACATTTTGGTATAGGTCTTTTCTTCCATCTTTTTCCTGTGCATATATATCTTTTCTTCACCTAGAAAAGGGATCATTTTAACTTTTTTTTGATATTTAAAAATAATTTCACAGTTGATTTGTTAACGCAGAATGAGGAATTCTCTTTGAATGCCTCCTTGCCCCATCACCCTTGGTCTGGAGATAATCACTGTTAATGGTTAGCATCCTTCCAGTCTCCTTTTTATGAACTTGTATACATATGTGGACATCTGCATATTGCACCTTTTTGTGTATATTAATAGGCTCATACTACACTTCATTGTTCTGGGACTTGGGCTTTGTTTGTTTTTCAAGGGCTATAGTATTTGAAGAACTTTCCAACTTGGTACATATTGTTCTGCAGAATCCATGCTTTCCTGGAACCCTGCATCACAGCAGTCTACAGACACTTTTATCACAGCCACAGGCCCTGCCAGGACCAGAGGATGGGCTGGGCCTTCCTCTTCTCATTTCCGACTGCTGTCGTGTAGTTAAGAGCACGAAGCCTGGTGGCTGACAGACCGGCACCAGCTTTGCCACTATCTGAACAACCTAGGCAAGTGGCTTCACCTTTCTGAGCGTAATTTCCTCATGTGCAAAATAGGAGGATTAAAAGTCCTCACCTCACTGGCTGGTGGTGAGGAGCAAATGAGATGACCCGTGTTTGGCATTTAGCACGAGGCCTGGTACAAGAAAAATACTGAAAATGTTACCTATTATCGACATACCATTTTGTCCTCCTCTAAGTAATGCTGGGGTGAACATCCCTGCTCACCTGGCTTCTCTCCCCATTTCAGACTATTTATGTGGGCCAGATGCCCAGATTTGGGATTCCTGGGTCTGCAGCGTTTCGAGGGGCTTGTCTGAGCTTGGTGGTGGAGCCAGGTTCCCGCCTGCCTTGACCAGAGGCAGCCCACAGCTGCTCTCTCCTCCAGGCCCCATCCTTGACTCTGCGGCACAGCCCATCGTCCCACAGCTTCCCAAACAACTGTTACCATGGCAACTGGTGCCAGCTGCAGGAGAAGAATTGAGGCTGGGCTGTGACAGGGACGGGCGGTGGTTGAGGACAGGGGTGAGTGGGGCATGGGCAAGCGTGGGTATAGTGTCCAGCTGGTCTGGACACTATAGCGCCCTTTTAGCGCCCTAGCACCTTCTCATGGAGGCAGCCTGACTCGTGCCAGGGGCAGACAGAGGGGTTCAAGGTCAGGCTCTGCTTCTTACTACAGGGTAACTTTAGACAAGAGATGTCTCTTCCCTGAATCTTAGTTGCCTCTTCTAGGAAATGGGGGAATCAGCTGGGCCCCAGAACTGCTGGGAATCTGGTATGAGAGGTAGGTTGTGTTGTATTCTTCTGGCTCGAAATAGAGACTCTTGGAGGGGTGCGAGAAGGTGGGTTGAAACAGTGTTTTCTTCTCTGTCCTGAGCCCCGCAGTGGCCAGTGAGGTCTGGAGCTGCTCTGTGGATGGGACAGCAGGGAACATGGAGAGAGCAGCACTGGCAGTGCCCCCTGCTCTGCCCGTCACAGCCAGGGAGGCACACAGCTCCTCTGGCCCCACCTAGGCTCCCAGGCTCAGGTACCCTGTCTGCAGCTGCAAGGTATTAGGAGGTGTGTGAGGGAGGAGCATGTCTTTTCAGCAGATGGAGAGCCTAAGAATAGCTCTTTTAGTTGAGTGCTTAATATATACCAGGAACTTCCCATATGTAATCATCTCATATTTAATTCTCACAATAGTGTTAAAAGTCAGTGTTAATACCCCTGTTTTGCTGATTAAGAAAACTGGGATTCAGAGAAGCTAAGTGACTCACTCAGGGTCACACAGCGAGTTAGTGGTAGAGCCAGGATTTGAATCCAGGCCTGTACAACTCCAGAGTTCATGCTCTGAGCCAGGCTGTCAAAGGCCTGGCTAAGGGGTTTGGAGTTTTGTGGGACTTTATTATAATTTGTTCAACAAGCAGGGGAACTCCTCCAGGGATCTCATAGTCCAATGGGGGGAGTCAAACAAATAACCAGAGTCAAGATACAGGCTGAATCCCAGCAGACCCTGGATACCCAGAGGGCTATTGAGTTTCCATATATGTGGGATTGATTTCTGGTCTCCCCATGCTCATCTCATTCAAATTTCTTTCCCTTTGCTAAGGTTATACAATATTAATTATAGTAGCTTATTAACAATTCTTAATTATTTGGTGAAAGAAGTCTCCCAACTTTGTTTTCTGGAGGATCTTTACTCTTACATTCTTTTGCTCTTTCATATAAATATTACAGTCAGCTTGTCAATTTCCACACACACACACACACACACACACACACACAAAACCTGTTGGGATTTTGATTGGAAATATATCAACCTCTAAATCAGTTTAAGGAGGATTAACATCTTTACAATATTGAGTCTTTCAATCCATGAACATAGTATATTCCTCCATCTATTTTGATCATCTTTAATGTCTTTCAATAAAGTTTTATATTTTCTCGTAAAAATCTTGCATATCTTTTTCAGATTTGTCCTAGATACTATATCTATATCTATACATAACTTGTTGTTATGGAAAAATTCAAATATATGTAAAAGTAGACTGAGTTGTAAGCAGGGATTGGCAAATTATGGCCCGTGGGTTGGCCACCTCACCAGGTTTTTAAATAAAGTTTTAGTGGAACACGGGCATGATTATTTGTTTACATGTTGTCTATGGCTGACTTCAGGCTACAATGGCAGAATTGAGTGGTTGCAATCGAGACCATATCTTTGGTCTAAAATATTTTCTCTCTGGCTCTTTACAGAGAAGAATTCCCGGCTCCTAGCATGAAATCTCTTGTACTTGTCACCCAACCCTACCAACCATGTGTTATGTTGCCTAAAAGTTGACAATAATTCTTTAATTTCATCAAACATTCGCTCGATATCCAAATTTCCAATAGTGTCACAAAGATGATAATTTATTTTGGTAGTTTATCTTTTGAAAGTCAGTCACACATTGCAATCGCTTGATATGCCTAAGTCTCTTTTAACCTAAGGCGTCTCTCTCCATATCTTATTTTTCTTGCAGTCTGTTTTTGAAGAAACTAGATTGTCCTGTAGCTTCTTGCATCCGCGTGGTATAGTTAAACCTGTGCCTATCTTCTGTATTTCCTGTGAACTGGCGGTTGAATCTGGAGCTTTGATTAGATTCGGATTCAAAGTTTTTGGCTCCACTACTTTATAGGTGGTGGTGTGGTCTTTCCATCTGAAGGCACATAATGTCTGATTGCATTACGTTATATTTTTTGATACGGTTATAAAATGATAACTTTTTTAAAGAGACCTCAGTCTTTTTTTTTTGTGAGGAAGATCAGCCCTGAGCTAATATCCATGCTAATCCTCCTCTATTTGCTGAGGAAGACCGGCTCTGAGCTAACATCTATTGCTAATCCTCCTCCTTTTTTTCTTCCCCAGAGCCCCAGTAGATAGTTGTATGTCATAGTTGCACATCCTTCTAGTTGCTGTATGTGGGACGCGGCCTCAACATGGCCGGGGAGGCGGTGCATCGGTGCGCGTCCCGGGATCCGGGATCCGGGATCCGAACCCGGGTCGCCAGTAGCAGAGTGCGCGCACTTAACCGCTAAGCCATGGTGCCGGCCCTAAAATGATAACTTTTAAAAGTTGCAGTTTCTAACTGTTGCTAGCAGCCCTGGAGGTCTAGTGGTTAAGATTC